AAAGTTAACAAAATATTCAATACAGGAGTTGAGCGTTAGAGAAATGTTTACCTATAAAAATAAAAGTGAGTAAAATGATGGCAGCAGTTAAAAAATCTTGGCAGAATTTGTACATTATCGAAAAGTACCTGTATGTTTTATGCATCTATTCAGATGCTACGTAAGCATATTAGAGCAAAATCATCACTTTAAGATGTCAGACATTTTTTAAAGCAGACGAGCATTGCCTTTGTCATTAAACCATTTATTTTAAATGATACGGTTAAAGGTTAAAATGCTCGTTTCTCAAAAATTGTACTTGAGGCAATGTCATGAAATAGTGACAGAAATCTAATAGTGGAACCAGCACACTTTTTAAACAAGCGTATTTTTGCGCTGTCTGCTAAATAGAATTCATGAAACTAAATAGGACTAAGAGCTTTCTCCTTTTGTGCCAAATTGGTCTCATTAAGCAGGTCGACATGCGACTACCTGAGAGCTCCCCCCACACTTAGTAATATAGGGCTTTTTAGCCAAAAATATTTAACGAGTGTTTTGAGCATTTATTGTATAGGAATTCGTTTAAATGAAATTGGTTTCGTGAATATCATACATAAATATTTAACAACGCAAGGTCAAATACTGCGAAGGGGCGTTTCAATTTCGTGTGTACCGATGCTGGTGGGCGTTTCGCTAATGTTAGTTATTTGCATGCTCCGTTTACAATATGCTTTATTGCATTTCTTTTTCATCATTTTGTAAGCTCTAAGAAGTGTTTCTTACCTGCATTTCTCAGTTTAGTGCTGCGGAATGAACTTAAAAGTATAGCATTCAGTTTTAGAGGCAATACAGATTAAGGTGTTTGCTCCCATCTACGCAAGTAATTTGGCGGACTAAATGCTTGGTTTAATCAGATTGTGTATGTTGAAGTTATTTTTGGGCATTAGGAGTGCATAGTCTGTTGAACTTTCTGCAACTCCAGAATAATATAATGCAGTGTCAGTGTTAAATAGTGCTGCCTATTTTTCGAAAATACCACACATCTGTGATGGTGCGGGCGCATCGGAGTATGGGTGTAGAGACCACTGCCTATTACTAGTAATCGCGTGTACAATTTGGAAATTGCAGTATTTGCTGTCAGAATTTTGCACATCTTGGCATTCGTTGGCTCACTCCTTGCTTATGATATTGTGATTCTTAAATTCACCGCTTGGCCTTACCGCTGTTTCTGGTCTGATCTTTACCTTTAGGTTTCTCCTTTCGCTGTTCCAAGCGATCTCTGTGGGTAACTCCTAATCAGATGAACTAAGTGCCAGTAGATTGAGGTTTTTTGCAGCCACAATCATGTCTTGATGAAAATTACGCCATGTCCGGTTACCACGAGCTGAACGCTGCCGTGAACTAGGGAGGTAGGCCAGCGCCATCGCGCAACATCGATGTACAAGCTCTAGATTACACAGTCAGTGACTATGTACAATGCTAATATGTTTGAATGGCAAGGAACTTAAAATAGTCGGACCAGTTGCCAACGGCAATCGCGCCTTTGGGAGACGACGTTTTAAAATGTGTTCAATGAATCGACTGGGTCCCTTTCATACTTAAGGTATCGGAGCACTGACGTTCGAAAGAATCAACACTTGGTTGTTGATGATCTCTGGTCTATTCCAAGTGAGAAGGATATTGGCAGCTTCCTCGTTGAATTCGAAACAGTCACCAAATTGAGAGTGGATGAAAAGCTGCGCAGAGGCTTATTGGATTTCTTCACTGCAGAGGCGCTCCACATTGTTCCCTTTATTTTTAGGCAGGAAAGGGAAAAGTCGCTACAAGACATAACTAATACGAAAGCAATCATCTGGGTCCCATCGAAATGGCAAAGTTGGCCTGCTACCTTCTGGTAACGCAACCTCATTCGCCGCCAAACGAAGCCAAGACGACTTCTGCCAATCGGTCCTGACCCTCGAATTGTTTTACTTGGGGATTCAAGAAGTGGGTCTATTACTTGATTTTAGCCTGCAGTAACAATGAATTAAAATGCCTTAGCAAAGATATACCTGATTTGAATGCTTTGCACTTTGGTCTTCATTCATTTGCAAGAGCGAGGTTTCAGAGAACGTCAACGTCATCTGCAATGCCTTTAACAGCTAAGCTGCTTTTATTGGTAATATCACAACGAAAACACATTTTATACAGCTGAGGAAACGATTTTCGTGCTATGAGGCTGAGAAGAACTTCTTCGTTTTGACGCGTAAACGTCTCGGCTTTGTTGCTCTTGAGGGTGACAAGTCTGTGGGGACAGCCGTCTTCTATCACACTGCCTATCTGCGGTACAAGGGTTGAAGTGAAGGTGTACATTGCCAAGAAGAAGTATGCCTCTTTCCTAACATTGTCTTGTTTGTTGGGTTCGCTAGAAGCGTTGTCCATGTGTAACACCTCGATATTTTTCCATAAAGTGTTGGTGTCACGTGTAATTTTAACGTAAGTTTATGGGGAGGTGGACTTACCACTTTGAGACACAAGCACAAATGTGGCAGATTTCGCTACGATGCATAAGTTTGATTGACGTTGAATTAATAAAGTCATGGCATGGGTTGCGCACGCATTTTAAGCCTTCTAATTCTCACCATTTTTAAGAAGTGTGGAAAGTGCAATTGGATTCGGTAGCATTAAGTGCACTTTCTTTGTGAGGCAGAGACATAGACAGAGCAGGTAGTGCAGGGACTCCATTGTGATTGACGAAAGGCTAGCGTCTGGGTCATGAGTTAACTTTAACCCCTTAGCTGTGCTTGAGTCACCTACAGACTGGGTGAACATGCACCCAAGTGGTGGAAGTAGCAGTGTGTTGCGACCCAAAATGAAGACCGCCCACTATTCATCTTAGCCGCTTAGTTCAAGAGCTCCTTGGTTCTTTTCCATTATCCCTTACCTGCTCATGTAAGTCATTCATTTTTACTTTAATCATCACAATAGTTGACGAGAAGTAGTCACTCATCTGCAAGTCTGTACATGCCAACCCTGAAACCAAGTTTGTTGTCAACCTAGCGCACCACAGACATCTAAATAGGGAAGGAGTGGCAGATGGTTTCGTAGGTGTTCTTAAATTTTATTAAAAAAGTGTCCCTGATTTGACTAAGACTGATAAGAACAGGAAGAATGCCCGGGGTCGGGGATGTACGGTTTAGGGGTCACCGAAGAAGACAAGATGAACTTCCACCTGTAGCTGGGCACTTCCACGGTTATGGAAGAGCTGTCTAGTTAGTTGATAACTTTGCCAGGATGTGAAAATAGGGTCGAATTTGATCCCGGTTCTTCCCACAGACCGAACTCCAACTTGATGTTCCGTTGAAACAGTCGTGTAGAATTGTGCTGTCCGCGATTTGTTACCCATGCCATTGAAGTGCTTTGAATTGCCTGGCCAATTTCAGGCAGTTAAACAAAGATGGAATCGCGTTGAATAATCACTTCATCCGACTATGTGAAAAACTGATGCAGCCAGTGCTCATTCGTGACACTTTTCATCACAAAATTTAAACAGAGGTGTTATTTTAAGGAGTCACAGGTCATGCAGCAAAATGCCTTACTGGGTGACTACTGTCCTTTTCCACCTTGTCAGCAATTTAGCGTCTGCTTTCACCCTACATTGATGGTGTACTGGCAAGACTCAACATGGAAGCAGTGGTCATCCATAATGGAATCCTTCATTTAAATGGTGCAATTCTCTATCCACCATGGTGCGTTCTTTGAAGGATCGGTTGAACTCGCAGACTTTGCAAAAACTATTCGTGAACCAACTCCAGTCTACTCCACTAGATTCCCTCAAATGTGGTGAAACAGATAGTAGGTGAATTGCCGAAGCTCCCCTCCCTCCTTTGCATCACCTCAATGGGATATTTCGTTTTGTGGGTCAGTTGTACTATTGTAGCAACTTCGTGTCCTTTGGGCACGTCGACTTAAGCAAACCAACACCAGGGATCATGGCTTCGGCCTTGTGTTCGCACTCAGACAGGGAGGAGTAGACTCATTGCGCCTGCAATGTCTTCTTCCACTTCACCTCCACACTGATAGGTAAAGTCGTGTCGTGCCAAGTCACAGCCGACTTTATAATGATGATGAAGAATGCAAATGAAGGGGGTTTATTTTACGATGTTTGCGGTCTCAGTTGGTAGCTAATTTGTTCCAGAACAACGACTCTATTTGGATTGGAACCAGAAGTGCTTTGCACACCTCTGCGGGGATAAATTATGGTGGTAAATGTGAAACTACCCTTTTTAATGTTACAAGATAGGGGGCGCAGTGATTTCCAATTGACGACGGAATAAACGTGGAATGATAATCAGCCTTTCTATGGAACCTACCTCTACATCTGTGTTTAGGCTGCGTCTTAGGCTAAAGCAATAGGTCAAAGAACTACAGGAATACGACTTCATCATACGGACGACTTTATCCAAGATGACGTCCTCTCTCTCGCCTCAACGACTGACACCCACAGACCAAAAGAGATGTTTGGATTTCGTTTTTGAGTGTCAAAGATGATACTGCTTCTACTGCTTTACTTCCACAAGGGGTATACCAATCATCTTGTCAGGACATTAACGTGCCATTGCAAAATTCGCAAACTCATTTCTGTCTTTCAAACTTACATTTAGAACAAATTTGCATCTGATGAATATCACGAGCTCAACCACTCATGTTAGATGGCTATATCTTCATTAAAAAAGGAAGCAGTAGACACCTTGAATGACCCATTCTTCTGTTCTATCGTCGACCGCCCTCCCTTCCCCAAAAAGCAAATGTAGTATAGCAAAATATTCAACAAACATAACGAAAGGTCCAAATGTGGATGAAAGCCTAAAATCATCAAGGTATTGGGCAATAAGAGAGATTTAAAAACTAACTACCGGGCGATTAAGCGAAATCGAGATAAGTACGAGAAGATTGATCAGGAGGACGCAGTTAAGCCTAAATGTGCACATTTATAAATGTAAAAAAAGAAAAACGGGTTCCTCGTCATCGTCACAAGTGCTCTAGTAGAAGGATACATTGTCAAATAAACCAGAGTCAAAAAATAAATCTGATGTGTTGCGAAAGGAGTTGGCATCACCACTTGAACTGCTGAAAACCGAATCCATCGCCGATGGATTTTTACACCTAAAATATTATGCAATAAAATATAATTTTTGTGAAAAATCAGGTAATTATAGCAATCATGCGTGTATGGGGTTCTGTGCATATGCGTGGTGTTCAAACCAAGTCGACACCACTAGCATTCTATAGGCATTATTCAGTCATTCCATAAAGTGAAAGTCAAGAAGCCGAGATTGTCAGATGTGTTGTGGGTCAGGTATACCAGATGCACTAATCAGCGATGATCAGACAGTAGCTTGTCAATGAAACCACAAAACCTCCCATCCACTGGATACCTATAGCTGCCGCATGGCCATGCCTACTCGTCCAGACAAAACACTTCGATACTGCAGTTCTCAATGATGGTCAGGAGACTCTGCGTTGAGTCAATACATGCGACAAAGGTGGAGAATGGCATTTATTTGGCAATCGGTAGCCGCACCACAGAGGAAGTGGATTCGACAGTGTCAAAAGGGTTCAACCACAGTGGAGATTGTTTCTTCACCAGTGCTGCTTTGTAAGGAGCACCGACACACCAGCACTTTTAACCATCCGTCGCGCACAGCACACGCTTCATTATGCGTTCAGTGCCAAGAGATACTTTGTATCGCAGCAACAGAACTATTTGTACAATGTAGTTTGTCTGTTCTAGTGATTACACTTAAGAATTGGGTCTGGCTAAAGGGTCCTTTGTGCCATTACGCATTTTATATGTCTCTGTGCATTTAAGTGTCACTCCTTTTACCGAAGTAAGGAAAGCGCGTGTTTATGTCCACTTCTTTTGTCAAAATTGTGTATAAAAATACAATCCAACATTTTCACGCCCTTCTCCTACCAAATAGCAAAAACATACAAGTCTTTGGACCAAAAATAGTATCCAAATCAACCTGAACACTCAAAGCGTCAGGCCCGATGGCGATTATCCATGAACTGGTTTCAGACCTGCAGCAATTGCAAGACCTTTGCTTTAGTCATAAATAAGATAGTCATTAAATGCAACCATGCTGAGCATTAGGAGCAACACATGCCAGCAAATCATACCAGACCTACCATTTGTTAACAATGTCGAAGGCAGATGGGAGTGGTGAAAGCGGCCCTGAGCCACCAGATATGAGATTGAACTCGTTCAATTGGAGGCCAACCTAAAAAGGCCAGAACCAGGTGTCCATCAGGTGTAATTCATCTTTATTAATGGGGTTCAGTGCCTAGGCAGTGCAACCCACGCAATATCTGCATCAAGTTTCGCATCCTTCATCATTCAGCCCACAAACGGAAATGCCATCTCGGTTTGAAGGATAGGCGCTCTGTTTCTTTTCACAAGTTATTGTCGCATCGAGCATGAGAACGCCACGTCAGCACCTCCATCACGCTATCACAGCCTTGGCTTTGGAGCTACGCCAGCTTCTTTATTACTTCGCTCTTTCTGGCAAGGATGTACTACAGCTCCATGGTCACATTGAAGGCGGACTGAGGGGAACACAGCAGCGCTCCTATTTCTATCAACTTTGGGATATTCTCGAGGAATCGACTACCAAAAACACACTCAGCGGAAAAGCCCTTACTTTAGAAGAGGTGTAATCATCCGACGGCCCACGGAATCCCCAAACTCCATCACTCGTACCAACACTATAATACACAGCTTTGCCTATCTTGCCATACATAAGATATTTGAGTGTTTCCCTACTACTCTCCAGAATCCACTCTACTCCATCATGTCCAATTTGACTTTTTTTTAAATTCCGAATCGGCGAGACCTTAGCTACTTACATTTCGCAGTGTTATCACCCTCCAAACGCTAGCGATCATTCACCATAACCTACGACTCAAATCACATCTCCAAGCTTGCACATGCACACATACAAACGCACAGTGGCGTTTAATGACCTACCTTAGTTAATTGATCAGAGAGACGCATCTGCATTATGGGCAGAGGCGGTAGGTCCATCATTCCTCCCAGCCGCTTGACTTCATCGCGGAGCTTTTCCAATGACTTCCACTGCGCCATTGCTTCTCGCAAATTCTGTAAAATCAAAGGTAGACATTTGGAGAGGTAAAAGTGGATGGGAAGAGAAAAATACAGGAAAATAGTCGTGGTAACGATAGCCAGCCAATATAACTGCGACATAACAGCCACTCACTGTGATTCCTTCTAGTCTTGCATACACATCGTCAATTTTGCCGACCTCGCCTGAGAGGCCTCTGACCCGTTGCTTGAATGCGTCTATCAGCGTGTCGCCCACCCCAACTGTCGTCTCCAGTTTCGCTATGGTGGTACTTAGGGCTTTATTCGCTGCCACGTTCAGACGCAGTACTGCTTTATCCAAGGCATCAATAAACTCATCCTTTGCCTTCTTTTCCAACCTCAACACAGGCGATTTTGACTTCAAGGCGGCCAAGTGACGAGGTAGGTCATCCAACTTGGCTTGCAGCATCAGGATGTACTACATGAAGGAAAGGAGGAGGCAGATAATCTGAAAAGCAATTTGCTGCTAATACCACGCAATCTAAGTGACACGATTGTAACGACTCGTAGCACAAACAACCCACATAACGACCAAGTGTGTAAAAGTAATCAAGTCTCCAACGTCCCCTTGTAGGCCGTCGCATATGTGCAACACAGAGCATCATTTTAACATATCACATCCAGCGAAACACGTCGGGATATGCCCACTTCACCTACTCAACAGAACAGCATTGAAACAGGCATGATGCAACGAAGGAAAGTAGAGAGTTTGTCCTCTACGGATGACCATTTTAACGAGACTATTGCGGTAGACATTAGCATGCGAAATCGTACATTTCCTCGTCTTGCACGTAAACAAGCCGATGTAGTAGTTCCTCGCAAATGATATCTCCAAATTACCTCTACATCCAAATTTTTGCAGTATAGGTACACAACACCCATCTCAATAACTCAACAAGCTAGTTACATGCCTTGCATACATCAAAATAAAATGGTGCACAGCAAACACAGGTCCCCACCAACGAACAATGGGCTACTCATTAAAACTGTGCTTAAGCATGTTTCACAACTTGCATGAAAAAGAGAAACTTGCACCACAATTTGAACGGCACTAGCCCTTACATTGTCGCGATGGTTTGCACGACACTGCAGACAGATGTCACGGTGACAATGGTCGCAAAATTTTAACAGTCTAGCCTCGACTGGTGCCCGACAGGTGCTACAAGGTATGCATTTTTCTTCGAGCCTCTGGTAGTCCTTCTGCTTGGCATTCTGCGCCTGCTCCCACCGCGAGGAGTGGAGACCGTGCTGCCCACCAATGTCATGGCTAAAATGCAGGACAGTTGCATCAAACGCCACCTGATAATGAATGAAATGCTCTTACATGGCTGTGAGACTACCGCTGGGTGAGAAACACCCCTCATACTGATATTTTTCTTCTCATTCCCAACATTTAGGTGATCTTACTTTACTAGTCTATAGTGGTGTCGACTGATTAGAGACTGGCAATCCTTCTGAATACCGAAATGGCTTTGGCATGACCACCAAATACAAACTTTCTCCCAACACTTTACTTCCATTCAAACTCGTGGAAATAAGCTGCATAAATTTATCCACCTCAAAAGTCTTTCAAGTGTGTTTAAGACATCCCAGTATGAACGGAGATATCTCTACTATCCTACTCTCAACTTCTACGAGATAATGGCAAAACAGGAGCCTTTAACGGATTACTTACCCAGTTTCCGGTACATGCCCGGCCCTTTTGGACATCTCATTGGGCATAAAGGCTTGAATTTCCACCAGTTCATCGTCGATTATGTGCCAACGAGTAGAGATGGCCAATTCAGCCGTCTCAGGTCGTTCAAACACCACCATGGCAAATCCTCTGCTGGGACTAATACCGCACGCCTTTATTGGACCCAGCGTTGATAACGCTGCCCTCAACGAATCCGCCGTCGTTTTGTGTGAAATGCCACTAATGAATACCCTTTGGCACTCCTCTGGAGGTGATGCAGGTACTGAGGCAGATGTAGCTGGAGGTGCAAGTGGAGGTAGCGAAGACGACTTAGTCCTCGACCTATTTATCGACTGCTCTGCCGATGGGGGCCTAGAGGCACCGCGTCTGCAAAATGTGCACAAACCATCTGTAATTAATTCAAAAACTGCAATGAATATTTAAAAGAGGAATACAACGCTCCACAATTCACTGGTCTATAGCAGATGCGCATTTGTTCAAATTTTACATGGGAGCAGTCCAAGCTACACCTGTTTGATCCTCCGTTGTCCCATAGTGTTCAACCCCACGTCTACACTGCCAGCCCTTCCGATCTTCAACATTTATATCTAAGTGAGTCTGCAGTAAGGCTGTTAAGGGTTGTTTTATCACCAGAAATGTCTAGGATCACCCAAAATGACTGAAGACGCTGCGGTTCAAATGGAAACAAGTAGTCTCTCATCCACGAAGGTCATGAATTCCCAAAGTGAAATCGGGGTTCCTACGGGGAAAAAATATGAAGGACTTAATTTCCCATTAATTCGTGGTATTCGCAGGTAGTGGTGGAGCTACACAATGAATAAAGTAATTGCCCAGTAAATAGAATTTTGCTGGTAAGACCACTTTCCCATAACCTCATAAAATCACACGTCACTCATATGTGACATTGGTGTTACGTAGGGAAATTGAGGTATCTGATGCAAAGGCGATGCTTCTGTCAAAACTATAGGACCTTTCACAATCAAGTACAGCATAAAGACGTCTTTTTAACCAAAAAACACGATAATGTAATGAAAGAAATACTTCTTTTTGGCTGCATACTCTTTCACTTTAACCCTTTTGCTGCAGACAAACTGTATGGGTTGGGAAATGGCTTTGAGCACAGAACCCTCACTCTCAAATGTAACAAAACTAAATGGTTTGTAGGGTAAAATAAAGCAGCTCTTTACAGTGCTATAGCGTGAAAAGTGATCCCTCAACTGTTTACAGTTCGTCCTCGCCGGGATACCGCCAACGCAGATCTGCTTACACGTGAAAGCATCGCGGGTGATAATGTCGTCCTCACAACTGAATGAGGACCTTAATGTGGACTTACATTCACTCAAGTAGAAGAGAAGAAACCATTAAATATACCTGCTTTGATAGTCATTTTCTTGCCATCCTATCCCGTATGTCAGTGACGTGTTCTCAAGTGCGGCAGTTAACTAAATACAGTAAAAGCAAAGCTTATGTCGATGAGTCAAAGGAGAAAAACTGATTCCGAAAAAGTGGCAAACTTCGATTGTTTATGTTAGCTACCATCGTGTTTTTTCCCATCTCACATTTATTCAGTCAGCAAAATGCATTTGATTTCAAATTATTGTCATTTAGACACATAACACCTTCCTTACTAACTATATAAGGCGGTTGCATGTCGTGCAGGCACCAAAATAAAAAGGGCACATCACTGAATTGGCTGCACTTAGACAAGTATTTTACACTTTAAAAGGAAAAAAGTTAACCCACATACCGTTGCCATTTCCGACTGATGCTCCTTACCACGATCCTGTTGATGACCGTGCTTTTGGTCCTCTTTCTGATCCTGCCTCAGATTCTGCTGCTGCTGCCGCTCCCAGGCAAGCTGATTGAGTCGCACTATAACATTGTAGTTGGGACGCACTTCTGCCACGTCAAACGTTCCACGACAGTGGATGCAACTAGCAGTCTTGGCGTTGGCATTAGACAAGAGGCAGGGTAGCAGGCAGAATGTGTGCCCGCATGGCAGGCTATAAGGATCCCTTATCCTTTACGGCACAATGGAAAATATAAATCAAGATCGGTGGAAAAGGAAATGTGTGACAACGTGACCTTACAATCAGACACATATACACGCACGTTTGTGAAGTCAATGCTCAACACCGTGGCTATTCCCTCTACCACCATATGCACCGCTGTAAAGAAAGTCTTTGAGGAGAAGTATGAGGGATAGCAGATTTTAAGTAGACACACAGATGTGTTATCACTGGCTCATGGAAATCTGCACGTTCATTCTTATTGTCATTTCATACTTTGTCGAACTCTACGATTCACTGCACGGACCTCACAGGATCCATTGTTTATACTTCCTCCAAACAGTACGATTAAATGGCCTGCGTCTCTTACTCACAGCTAGTCTCCCAGTCTCCGTCTTCCTCGACATGATGAATAGTAATAATTTGATTATATCAAGATGAAAATGACATTTTACTTTAGCCAAAATCCCTATGCTGAACCACTCAGTAAACTACACAGGAGATTTCAATCACACGCCGAATATATAGCATGTTAATTTTTACGCAGTGTTATCCCATTTTACTGCATCATAGCATTGTCACAATAAGAAATTGTTTATGTGCAAATAACTCACAATTTTTTGCAAACTTCGCAAATGAGATCCTCGTTAGTTGAAGCCATTGCTAGTCCACACTTTTCTTGGATCAAGTGGTGACGCGCAGTTACTCTACACAATTCTGCACTGGCAGACACTTTTGCCATTTCTACTGGTCAATTCTTTTGGCAGTGTAGCCAATCAGCGCAATGCGTTACTACAGTTCAGCCAGTATTTGTGCATGCTTGATCGCAATCGACACACATGTACTACACCTAACAGCCTAACTAACTACCACAACCTCCTCACTCTCCTTCTCACCTTCGTTGCCACTTATTGACGCCTAGGATGAAGAATGAAGTGCGCAAGTGATAGCGCCTCAACTCTACTGCCAGTTACACAAGTTGCATTGATAGTGTGTCTGTGTGCAACCAATGCGGAAATATGTTAAGTGACCGTGAGAGAAGGGCAATAGTTTTCACTTAGAAACACCGCAAAGATGGATGCTAACAATAGATAAAGTGACTGAAACACCTAAATATATCATCTGACAACTGTCTGACCATTTGTGTGGTATTCCCCTGCCTTTCTTCGCACACCCTTTTATAAGTAGTGTCACATGCACGTGTTCAAGTCGAATCTATTGACCTTCACATTAGCACAAAGTCACATGCTTTTTCGCTCTCCCTTCCCCTTTTTCCTTTTTTTCCCTAAACGTGTCTCAAATCAAAGCCGAGACGCTCTCTGCAAATTCACGATGATACTCAATTTGATCTACATGTAGCCACAAGCTAAGGGGACAAATAATTCCTAAACCACCATATTTACATTAGTGCATCTACTTCCTCATTAGTATGAATACAGGCGTCGTTTTACACCTAGCAGTGAGATAGGAGTGGTGAAAGACCCACCACTTCATCAAAAGTGATGAGACTGAAGTCGGTCAAATGTCAGTTATCATAAACATTGGCAGATCCTAGCATCCGTTAGGTTTGATCCATGCAATGAATCCCATGCAATGCTTTCGTAGTCGTCTCCTTGTACACAGTCTGGGCCACAGATAACAGATGGCATTGCAGGTAGGTAAGGCGAACGTAACAGTTCCTTCACATTAGCATCTTGTCCCAATGCATTCCTCTCCAATTCTCATATGCAGGTGGGTTAGACTCATTGCAATGACCTTGGCGTGATCTTCAAATACCTACTTTCATCCACCATCCGCGCTCGTGGGTGGGTCTACCTTAAACTACCTCCACTTGAATGCACAATGTCAACAGTATGGTAGGAAATGTCACTAGGATTAGAGCAGAAGTGAACTATTCTACTCTCTTGCCCCACACGAATATGATCAAACTAGAACACATAACTACGTTCATGTATGTTTGTCTCTCTTGATTCTCCAGTTTTCTGCCTACGTCGGCATTCTTTATGCCTTTTCAATAGTCAGCAATTAGGTATCTAAGCGTTGCCTTAACGAGTAGGGATTTCTGAGACCTTCCAAAATGAATCAAGACACTGAGGGGTCAAATGAGAGCAGTGTCTCCTCTGCAAAGGGTACGAGTTCTCAAAGAGACATCGCAGCTCCACTTAGTTGACGAGGTGAATAGGTCGTAGTGTACCTACGCAAGATGTAGAACGAATGCCCATAATAGGGAAATTTGGCCAAATACCCAATGGATGTAAAAACAAGTAAAAGGAATGGCTACATCTCATGATCGGGTTAATAGTTTACTGGACATTTTGCAGTCAGTGCTCAAAAGTAAGGCAGCACCTATCACTTTATGCATTAAACACAAGTCGCTGCAAGTCTTCCCACTGACTGATAGGGAATGGGTAGAGGAAAATTATTGTTGACTTGTTATAAATGTAATTCTACTTGTTTTTTGCGTATGTTTCTGCTAGTAGGACTTCCTAGATCTTCACTTTATTTTATCTAAGTTCACAACACTAACCTACAAGCCTGTAATTAAGGCACTTTCCTACATTTTACCCTTAAAGGCCATTGTTGCTTTTGTGGATTGCTGGTTTAACTTTGACTACAACTAATGATTTGATTGTAATTAATATTGCAAAATAGCGATGTTGGGGAACAAGTCTACAATTACGACAGGATGAAGTCATTCTGCGAAAGGCTGATAGGCGCGTGTCAGTGTATAAAATTTGATAAGGGGGATATGTTTCTGAGACAGATGACAGGGCTTAATTGCACACTTTGAGAAAAGCGCGAATATCAAATTCCGTGACTTTTCAAGGGCTTAACATAATAGGTTGCCTGTGGTTTATCGATGCCCTTGTAAAGATGACTTTGTTAAATGTGGCATTGTTTCGGTGAGCTACGTATTCATGATGACCTACTGGATCCGGCGTGTGACTGCAGGGATTGACTTCATTCACAGATCAGTATACACTAGCCTACCTTTTGAGTCTGGTAGTCACCCAATCAGTGATTTGTGTTATCTACGGCTATGAATCAGCTTGTCAATTTGGCGGCGCTGAAAACAGCTATGGATGATAAATGTACTACTTCACCACCTCCACGAGCGTGGATTGGCACATTTAGTGCTACTCAGAATGTCTGGCAAAAGTGACACTAAGAATGTGCACCCAGCATTGATTTGATTATCGCCAAGATTGGTGATAACACCAAATGTGAGTGAGACCCTTATGTGGAAATGTCACGGTTGTCTTATCAAATGTTATTAAGTGAAAGACGTGGGGAAAGACAAGACATCGGATAGCAAACAGTTCACCCAGTTATGGGGAATCATTCAATCACCACACCTAATTGTGACCTACCACCTTTTTATGTTATGGTTTGAAACACGCCCCCTCCACATGGCTTCTTACGTCAACATAGCTTCGACTGCAGACGCATTTCGGGGATTGTTCTAGGTCTGCAAAATCTGGTCTACTATTTGCTTTATTTAATGTATAGATGATAATTCAGGAACACAAAGGTTGATCAGTTGACACAGAAGCTCTCAATTGGCCTAGTTGAACCAGGCGTCACAAATGCGTGACATGTGCTCTGCGTAGGTCTGCTTTACTCGATTTCTTATTTACCTGTCGTTCTACTTGCTCAGCCACTTCTGACTACTCACTAGTGCCTGTCAACACCTTCTAGCTATTAGCATCTTCAGGAGGAACTCATATCCTACAGACCTGTTGTTCTATGGTAGAGAGTACATTTGATAGGTCTGAAAGAGAGATGAAAGAACGTTGTCAATAATCTACCAACGACTTCCTTCTGTAATCAAGACAAGCATCTGATTTACACGTTTCCCTTCACATGGGTAGCAGCGTCTCAATACTTACTCATTAAATACCTCAGAACTGACGAATTTGCGCCACCCCATTTCTGACTTTCAAACTGTCCTTGTAGAGCCAACTCACATCGCACGTGCAAGCTAGTACAAGATTTTATAAAGCACTGAGATCAATTATCTCGGAAGGATAACAATAAACTCGCAAGGTGAATAATGCGCCATGGAGATAGGTCAATGAGGAATGAGTTAGAAAGTACTTTCCATCTTTGCCCCCATCCAACCAACCAGCAGTCCACATCAGCAAGTTGTCGCATATCCAGATTGTCATTTTCAAGCAGACGGAAAGATGGATTCTCCTAGGAAACAAACAGCTTTACATCTACAGTTGGTAAAAACAAAAACGCAGCTCTACCACTTGAGGTGCTTGAAGGTGCTCTCACCTGCAATGAACTTGTCACTTGCCTCAAGTGGCATATAGTGGCTTGTTACCCACACAAAGAATAGACTAAATTCAGACCCATTCTCTGTCAATGGTGGCTATTCCTTGTCAAGTTATGCTACATAGTTTACAAGACGTTATGTGCTTTGTGAGTCATTTCAAAGGCTGCACTCGTCTGGCAGCATGCGGTAACAAAGGCACCACTTTTTCAGCAGACACACCCAAAAGCAGCTGAACAGCTACATCTAAACGCTTACACGGAACACTTCACACGCAGTTGACGTGGTGATGATGGCATGCTTGGTCACTTGTTCTTGTTACTAATATGCTTCTCTGGTTTCGATGTCAAAAATGGCCCTAACACCATCCACCGTGGGTGTTTCATAGTATGGCATGGAAGAAAGCAGCTAAGTCAGTCTGTACCGAGTATTAAGACGAGAACTTGGTCGGGGATGGCGCGGTAATGATCGAAAGAAGTTGAGGGTAGAAACGGCCACGCTTGGCCTTCCGCCAGGAGAGGTGTTGAGCATGCCTGCACCCTAAATAAAGTATTTCGGTTCGGTTTTGTAAGAGCCGCATCATATAAACCAAGAGAAGAGGTGAGGTCCCGGGAATCCTCTTAATCATTCCAAGAATAATTACCAGAACGTCATCCAAGCAACATTTACAAGACTTCAGCTTAATCAGAAACAAAAATTTTGAAAACGGCTTAAGAGAAATGTGATATTAGACAAGTAGCGTCGAATTTATAGGTGCACTTAATACCCTCAATCATAATCATGGGGCAATGAAATACGAAATACGACATCCGAAGTAAGAAATCAAGCATACCCCTGTGTACTGTTTGATTAACCTTCACATTGGTGGTTGTATCAGATAGAGCAAAGATCTTCTGGATATTCTTCTTACTTGATGGAAGTGGGAGATCGTGAACATTCAACTGATGATCAAACTCGTGAACACTAGAAGGCGCTGCTTTTCTGCCAATAAAAGCAGGAAGTTGTTAGTTCCACTAAAACATGCTTTACAGTGCTGCAATGACAATGGTAAGCGGAGCTGAAGATACAGTGGCACTAAAATAATCCCAAAGAGCCAAAATGACTCAGAGAAGAGACTCAACAAATCAGCAGTCCGAATAAATACCGGCCTACTGTGCAGGAGGTGCCCATCTTCTTATTTGTCTGCAAATTGAAGTGTCGCACACTGACGGAACCACCTTCGATAAAGTGTGCACAGTCAGCCTTCTCCTAAGTTTTACGAAGGCAAAGCGTTCGACACTTTTGCTTTGCAGTCCTGCACAATGCAGCGTTCGGTAACGGTACCATCTCAGGCAGAGTGCTATCACAACTGACCCTCCATATATTTTGGCCCCAACCCAGCCACGTACAGCTTCACTCGAGCCTTTGTCGCTTTGATCTTGGGCGAAATGAGGCTTTTGCTTTGAAACACGCACTAACAACAATAATAATCTCTTAGTCTGCGTTCACCCTAGCCTAGCCTACTCAACCTGCCTACCGCATCCTCTAATTTTCCATCCTTACATACGTCTGCAATGCTTTCACGTTGAGCTGAATTAACTCCATTACCACAAGCCTTAAGGAATGGAAACCTAAACCACATTACTCAAGACAACGTTTTCTGCTTCCTAAAAAATAAGGTGGGTGAGTGAGTGCAACCGCCACTTCGTACCCAAAATTGAGCTCCAATGTCACACCAAGAAGTGAGTTGCGAGAGTTGTGAAAGCGACAACACTCCGTCACCCATGACAAGATTGAATTTGCTTAATTGTTGATCAATTGTCTATTAAAGAACATCATTTACCTTCAGCAATGTAGTTCGAGAAATTAGTAGTCCAATGGTTTGAAGTCATGACGGCATCACCTCTCCACTCCACCCACAATCTCCACTTAACGGTAATCTAATCAGCAACCTTAATCAGCGTCTCTCAAATGAAGCCATTTTCCTCCGCAGAGGTAATAAATTCTTTTTCATATCCTTTAAAGAAGTCGCTACATCAAGAAGTTTGTGCAATGACTTCTGCTTTGCCATCATTTCTCACAAACTCTACACAAGGAATAGAGAAAAATGGGAGAGAATAAGTGACAAGAAACACAGAGTAGTAATAGCATCGGCACCCAGGCCACCATCATCTCCACTCACTTTGATCCGTTCCAGTAACTCGGATATTGACGAATAAGTAAGTGATCCGTCTCACGAGTGGACTTATCGTCTCTTAGCCATCCACAACCACATTCGCCAGTTTCACTGTTGCAGTATACAGCGTCTTGTTCGCTGCCATGCGCAGCTCTAGCAACGTGCCCTCCACGACACCGAAAACAAAGCCATTCGACTTCGTCTTCTTCTCTAATGGCGCGAGGATCCCGACCCCCTCAACTACTCCAAAACGCAACTTCAACATTGCTTTGTGGCGAGACAGAGGGCTCAATTTCACATGGACTAGCAGGCTGAACTGCATGAAGGGTACGATAGAAAGCAGAAAAATTACTTCAAGTGATGTATTTAATTTTCCAGCACCTTAGGTAGATGGTTCAACTAAATCTTGTCACACACAGGCAAATACATATGTAACAACTGAACAAATATTGAGAGTTCTTGGCCAGTGGTAAATCGCATTTACTGAATTTACTGCAGCTGATGGATCATCCCCCAACACCTTGAATGCATACAAGTAATCAAGGAATACGGGTGACCTACGCTTGAATGCAAATTTCACTGATTCTTACACTGTCGCGGTGTTCGTCATAGCAATGTGGACAGATTTTGTGCTGACAATGATAGTGAACACTCAATTCTTTCGCTTTCACCGGTCTCCTGTAGGTGCTGAAAGGAAATTTTCGCCAGTCCTTTGTCCAAGCTCGCTTCCATTCGACACCTGCTGTTGCGACGAGAGCAGAGCGCTTCTCCCCAATGGTGTGGTTAGGACGCAGGTCAGCCATATCGAACATCACATGACAACGGATGAAGAACGCTGTGATGGCTCTGGCGTGGGCCAGCAGGCAGAGCCTTAAGCCGAACGTTTGCTGTAGGAATCACTCATCCTTCTCCACACATTCGAACATACGAACAAGGTTCACTGATTTGCTGCATAGCAATATGACCACTCCTTTCTTGTCTGGCATTGTGACCTTGAATTTGAGCACACACATATGTGAACCTAGTACCCAACAGCCTAGCTATTCCGATTTGCCCCCACAGTTACCACTGTAAGGAAAACCTTTGTCTGAGGAAATTTGGGAGTCACAGAGGCGATCTATCGCAGGTTTATTTGAGGTCATATCTCCATTCTAATAGTCATTTCAAACTTTCTTAAACATACACTCTACTTAGGAACACTTCAGACTCCTTGGTTCACTCCTACAGAAATGTTCAGTTCTCTGCCTTCTACCCTCCACCTCCAGCCTCATGATGGGCAGTAACAATTTTTTTATGTCAATTTATGACTGCGACAAATGGCTGTGCCAACCCTCACGTTTGAATCACTCGACACTCACAAGAAAAAAAGTTAGTATTTACGCAAATAGCCCAAAATTTTGTGCCCACTTCACAACTGAGACCCGCGTCAATTGAGGCCATCGCCTCGCCAAACCCGCCTCTGATCAAGTAGCGGAATGTAGTTCACACAGCGCCTCAAATCTGGAGGATACTTTTGCCAATTCTACTTGTCAAATTTGATGGCAATTTAAAGAATTACTTTTGAAGCAATTGTATAGATCAGCTAACTGTGGTGTCTTCAGTGATCGCGCACCTGACGCTTGACGTACGTGGCCAGAACCAGGCCCTGGCAATTAAACAGTCATGCATTTGGCATTGTCCAGCATTAACTATTATTTGTTTATTTTATACGCCTTGTAATCTGTGCGAATTGCTGTAAAATTACTTCAGTAAAGTGTTTTGGTTCTTTTTTCCTGTGCTTAGTTTAAACAGAATGAGGTTAAAGACGTAAACATCACTTTTACAGTGTTTTAAAATGCAGCATGATAGATTACCATTTCGTTTATAAAATTCTTAACGTTGGTGGCTTGGTTTATTGAAGTGCTTCCCTGGGTAGCCGTTTCCGGCTACCCTAAAAGATCTTATCAACAGCGAACCACACTGGTATCCAATCACGCTCCCAAAATGTGCACCTACCTGAATGTATGCATGATTGTATGAAGTGATGATGGTTGGTTACTCTTAACACTGTCAGATATACTACTGCTCTCCCTCCGCGCACATACAATATCCTACTGCAAAAAACTTCAGTAAAATAATGCGAATTTTTTTCGATTTTAGGCACTTTTTTTTACGGAGTCAGATTTGTCCCCCTAACGAACGCATTTGTATTTGAAAATGATGACTGCTGAGGTAAGGAATCTAAGTGCCCGTCTCTGTTTATCCAATCAACGTACATATCGACTGTTACTCGCTCCGCCATTTCATCATCTCTTCAGTGGCACCACCCAATTTGAGTGTGACGGAGGAGCCCCGAAAACAAAGCGAGGCAATTGTTGTGTACGAATGTGTTGTATTTGCGCAATCCTCCAAGTAGCATATTCTTCACTACCTTCGGCTTTGTGATCAGAACGCTTATCCATGTGCTCTGAGCTTTGACAAAGTATCACTTTTACTGCCTAGTGTTTTTTTTCGATTGGTGTTACAACTTGAAACCTACTCGATATTCTCCGTTGTTTATATGCGGTTGTGGAGGTGATGTATTATCCATAGCAAATTCCGATGCCTCTGATCTACTGCTAAATAACAAAGGTAAGGCAAGTTTGCAATCCACTGTTTGTGAAGCAGGATGGAATGCAAACTAACATATGTACTAGTGTCCTAATTGTTGTTTTATGCCCTTTTGTTTCATGTTGGAATAGAAGCTTTCCTAGGTGGTTGGTAGATATAGTCTGTTACTCTACAACAATTCTCAATGCGGCTTCTAGAGATACATGAATTATCATTTCAAAGGCCGCGGTTTCGTGGTTATGTAAGCCAGATGCCTCAAATTGGGTGAACATTCCTAATGTAAAACTTACACCTTGTGTCACATTAGAACGTTAAGGGTACCAGCATGTTAAAATTTACCACTGAACAGAGTAGAATGTGAGGCCACTTCTCAGTAACGAAATACATTTTGCCATTAGTGTTAATGTAATTGACCATCTCTTTCCCTGCATCTGCATTTATTACGTAAGCCTACACAATTCTGAAGTCTCGCTTTAATCAAGTAGGTAAATGTACACATTGACGCATTCTGTTAATAGCAGTTCTAGATATTAAAATTTCGCTTTTCGCGGAACTAAACAAAGATGAAATTACTTAAATTGCAAACCGCAGATTACAGTGAAATTTAGTAGATATACCTCTGCTCATTTAAAAGCAGTACATCTAATATTGGTTTGCCTCGCCTTTTAAAGATACCGCTTTCAAACCTTTAGCTTCATCTAATGAGTAGCAGTTGAGGATGAATGGATGAATAGATAAATGGGTATAGGAAGGCTATAATGAATGTTTACATATGCATTCACTTATATATACAGAACGAGTGACAATTTTCTATGGTTTTGGGATAGGTACGCACATAAAAATAGTCACATCTCCATGCTTTAAGACTACGTAGTTTGCAGCGCCAAAAGAGTGGGGAATGATTTAATCCCAGATCTGCCTATTCCATTTTTTTATATTTGCGTATTCATCAGCCAAGTTTCTTTATTGACATAATAAGGCTGCACTTGATCTCAAAATTTTGCGAATTAGTAACTAGCATAGTAATCTATATCTACCCACTTAATCACCTCACGCTTAAGATGTAGTTCCATAACCTGGTTTTCGCTACTATCCTATTTCTCTGTTTCTCATCCGCTTCCATCACCATGCGCTCTAACTCCTCTTCCGGTAGACGATCCATGCTGCAGATCGTGATGTTGTTCTGTTTCGGCGGTAAAAGTGCCTGCTGTTTGGAACAGAGATATGAGCATCACACAGATAATTGAACATAGGAAATTGTGAAGAGGAGATGGATTCAAACGGCCAGGAAGCTCTTTGTAGAATGTGCAAAAAGGTAGAATAATACATGAAAAAAATGAATCCTTTGTTGTCGCAAAAGTAGAGGTGAGCCATTTCTAACACATTTTTATTTATCCATTCAAATGAACCTGTGTTTGCGTTTACGCACGCCATTCAGAACATGTCGACATCACAAACACACTGGTGGATAAAAGTGGCCAAAGTACCTGCCACTTTGACACACCGCCACTTGGTCATAACAGAGCCCATTTGTAACATCTGCAAAAAGCTGCGAAATGTCTACAGATAAAAATGACCACTCTATTGTGTGCATGTACACATGTTCAAGTCAACATCATAAAT